TATATATAATAGTACATTATTGTATATGTGGGTTAATTTATATGAAATTGATTTGATGATAATTAATTAAATAATAACACCATTAATAAAATTAAATGTCAATTATCATCATCAGCTGTTATTTCCTACTTGAAATAAACATTTATATATTATTACTTTATTTAAAAGTGGGTGATCATATGTCATTGAAGTTTTCAAAAGAATTACTTGGTATAAGTATAATTAAACTTTTAATATGTAATTAATAATTAATTTTTATCCATGAGAACTTAGATTGTTTTCCAAGCAACATAGATATTAAGTTAGATACGTATATGTAAATTCCAACTAGTTGGTGTACATTACAAGCGAAAACGATAAAACCATACAATCGGTTGTGAGTCCTAATTATGACCGCATAAATAATAATAAATTCAAACAAAAAAGGCTTCTATATATATATATATATATATATATATATGTTTCCTCCCTGTAGTGAATAATTTGTAAGAAAAATGTAAATTTAAATAATTACCTGGGAGTTTATGAGGGTGAGTGTAGCAAATCCCATTGAGTCCTTCTATGGTAGGAATAAAATCATCAATAAGGGGATGAAGCTTCTGCAACTCAGGCCTCACCTTCCCCTCCAAATGATCAAGCAGCTCCTGGTCCGTTGGATCGAACTTAACCCCGGCTGGCAGCCCAGGCAAATCCTGAATTAATCCACTGCTTCCCTAATCCATTCATGCAATACAAATTCAATCATTTTAATATTTTTATTTTTATAATTTTTTAAGAAATTTGATGTATATATATATATATATATACATAAAATAAAGAAGAACAATAACAATATGAAACGAAATAATTTTAAAGAAAATTATCATAATAATAAATATTATATATTATTACACTAAACCTTTATAAAATAATGAATTTTCAATATAGATAAATGAAAAAATATATATTAATTTTGTGAAAAAAATTTAATTCTAAATCACTGCTAGATGAAGACAATACATATTTAACCTCATTAACCCACCATCTTTTTAAAAGACACTCAACATGGAACAAAAAATGAAGAAATTATCAGAAATATGAAAAAAAAAAGAAAAGAGAAATTACTTTCCCTTGGGAATATATATATATATATATATATACATATATATATATATAATCATAAGCATAAACGCTTTTTCCAAAATTCTTGGAGAATAATTAATTAGCCTTAATTAATAATAATATAGTTTGCTTAACTTTAATTTTCATACATCAAGTAAGTTTTTAGTTATAGTTTTTGTATCATTATCTTCTTTTCATGCATAGGTCATGAGAAAATCGTTTTGAATTTTTCATGATTAACTTTTAAATTATCTTTTATAATTAACTTGATATAAGCAAACTATATTATTAATTAAGCCTAATTCTTCCCCAATAATACTAATTTTTTTAGTATTATTCTTTATCATATATATATATATATATAGAGAGAGAGAGAGAGAGAGAGAGAGAGGATGCACCAGATTATCAACTTGTATCTTCTGGCCACACGAAGGGCAGATCTTGGCTAACCGACGGTCGTGATCTTCGTCACCATCTTCTTCATCGCAGCTACTACTCCATGTCATCTTGATCTTCACTGCCACAGATTCTTAAACCCTAATTCCTGTGATCCCTTCCCTTCCCTTCCCTTCTCTCTAGAAAGAGAAAGTTAAAGAAGAAAGGGCACAGCTTTCTCTCTCCTCTACTCTAGCAGCAGTTCTTCTAGAGCTTTGTAAGGGAACATAATTCTTTTGAATCTTCTGGCCCACAGCTGTCAAAGGAGGAGAACGAAGAGCCTGCAAAAATATCTATTAAACTTCCATAAGAAATGAAGTGAAGATAATTAAATGTAAATAAAGATGAAGACAAAGGCATTAAATTATAGGGAAAATAATGAATTGGAGAGAGAAATGGATTTGAGTTATTATTTTTGGAATATAATTAATACATTACTTGGCCCTCAAGCTTGGCATGCTATTCGTCCAACTAGTCGGAACATGTTAGTCTTCATGAACCCCATGTTTTTCTACCCTCTCTCTCTCTCTCTCTCTCTCGCTCAATGTGAAGGTGGGTTGCCTTGGAGTGCATTGGAAGGCTTGCTTAACTAATATTGACGTTCATATCATAATGCATGCCTAATTAAGCTAAATGGTATAATTTAAGTATTTGATGTTTATCTCCTATATTATATATA